CCCACTGGGCCCTGCCGAAAGTAAGCTTCTGAAAAGAATGATGAAGTGTCATTTACTCTTATATCCCCAGCTCCTAAAATAGTGTCTTGCACATAGAGAAGCTCTCAGTAAATATTTGCTGAGAGATTTTTTGGAGTGACCTGAGGTATCATCTGTTCAGAAAGTTAGAAATACAGGATTTTAGTGATATGGTTAACTGCATAGTACTTTCATTGAAGTATGACATACATGAGAAAAGTGCACAAATCATAAGTACACAGCTTGGTGAATTTTTACGCAGTAAACCCTCTGTGAAACGGGCTTACAGATTAAGACATAGAGCATTGTCAGCATTCCAGAGGTCCCCGTAATGCGTCCTAGTCAATATTCTGTTGGTGGAATCCTGTGGTCTGTACTTAGGGCAACTAGCTTCCTTCCTCAACTTTCTGTTTTTGGGGTTCACTCTCGTTTTTGGAAGTAACCAAAGTTCTTTCATTCTCAGTTCTGTGTGGTGGTAAGTTGTATACATAAGCCATAATTCATCCATGGTACTTCTGAAATTGCATTATATTTTTTCTAACTATTATGAATAATGCTCCTAAGACTATTTTTAATTCTTATATTACAATCTCTGCTTTCTTTAGTTAACAACATTATAAACCCAAAGTTTTGCAGGGAGAGTTCATAATATTTTTACATTGTGCCACATGGCTTTTTGTTCTCTTCCTAATCAATGTAAGTTAAAAAATTATTTAACATATAATTTAAGTTTTTGGCAGCTGGAAGTAAAGAGTGATTTAAAAATAGCAAACATTTATTGAGCATTGATTCTTTGCACTGGTACTGTTCTAAGTACCTTATATTTCTTACTTAATCCTCACGACAGTCCTATGAGACAGGTACTAGTATTATCTTCATTTTTCAAAGGAAATACTGAAGTACAGAAAGGTTAAGCAGTTGCCTGAGACATTCTGTGGGAGGCAGGACCAGCATATTCCAACCCAGGCAGCCTGGCTCCAGAGCCTGCCTCTTTTCTTTTCCTTTTTTTTTTTTTTTTTTTTTTTTTCTTTCTGAGACGGTATCACTGTATTACCCAGGCTAGAGTACAGTGGCACAATTATGGCTCACTGCAGCCCTCACCTCCCAGGCTCAAGTGATCCTCCCACCTCAGCCTCCCGAGTAGCTGGGCTACAAACGTGCACCACCATGCCTAATTTTTTTTTAATTTTTTTTTTATTTTTAGGAACAGGGTCTCACTATATTGCCTAGGCTGTTCTTTAACTCCTGGGCTCACTCAATCTGCCCACCTTGGCCTCCCAAAGTGTTGGAATTACAGGAGTGAGCCACCATGCCTGGCCCAGAGCCTGCCTTTCTTAAGCTCTATACTAGACTACCTTCTTATTTTTAAAAGTTAGCCTGCATTACTTACTTGCATTTTAAAATTTATTGAATAGTTATTTTGTGGGCAGTCTTTGAAAAGTTTTCATAAAGTGGGCTACCCCAAAATTTTATGACCCACATTCCAGATTTACCAACTTTTAACATCTTGCCACACCTGCTTGATCTCTCGCTTTCTACGCATGTACACACAGTTTCCTTCTTCCAAACAATCCAGAAGTAGGCTAGCAACATAATTGTGTCATCCCTACATACTTCAGCACACCTCTTACAAGAACAAGGACACCATTACCCCAACAAGGACACCATTACCCCAGGAAAACCAGCATTTAATGAATTATTCAATAGTATCATCCAACATATTCAAATTTCCCCAGTTGTTCCCAAAATATCCTTCAATTCTGGATCCATTCATGGTTCGCAGGTTGTGTTTGGCTGTTACATCTTTTTAGTTGTTATCCTTCAGAGTTAAATTGGCCTGCCCCTTTCTTTCTTTATAATATTCACTGCTTTGAGGAGTCAGGGCCAGATGTGGGGCATTATCCATTCATCTGATTGTTTCCATGTGACCAGATTCGGGTCACAAATTTCTGGCAAGAGCCCCTCACAGATGACCGTGTATTGGTTATTAGATAACAATCGATTACTTAAGTAGAGAACTGGAAATTCTCCTTTGTCCTCTTGATTCATTGATTTTTTTTTTTTGAGACAGAGTCTTACTCTGTTGCCCAGGTTGGAATGCAGTGGTGCGATCTTGGCTCACTGCAGCCTTCACCTCCTGGGTTCAAGTGATTCTCTTGCCTCAGCCTCCTGAGTAGATGGGATTATAGGTGCCCGCCACCACGCCCAGATAATTTTTGTATTTTCAGTAGATATGGGGTTTCACTATGTTGGCCAGGCTGGTCTCGAACTCCTGACCTCAGGTGATCCACCTGCCTCCCAAAGTACTGGGACCACAGGCATGAGCTACCATGCACGGCCATTCATTTCTTAATTATAAAGATACTTTAGATAATTCACTGGTCTTTTACTTTCAGTTTAAGCACAGTAAGTGGATCGAAAAATAACTTCAGTATATATAAATGATATCGCATAAAGTTGATGAAATATATAGAATGTTCATATGTTCTAAGACTAACTTTTAGATTTTTTTTTTATTCTCTCAATGGTATGCAAAGTATAAATCAAAGCCATTCTGTGAAAAACTGCTTTCCTGGGTGAAAAGTAGCAGCTGTGCTAGAGTCATCGTTCTTTCAAGCAGTCATTCATATCAGCGTAATGATCTGCAGCTTCGTAGGTATGTTCCTGCCTCTGGAAAGTTATTTTTGGTATGGATTATACTATGATAATTTCCCTATTAAAAAGTTAACCTTTAAAAGCCATGTAGATCCTTACCTCTCCTCACTAGAGTTTAGAAAGAGGAGGGTAAAAGAAAGTCAGGAGATGGGAGGGAGTGCAGTTACACAAATCTTTTCAGTTCCTGTGAGCTGAGTAGAGTTGGGGCACAGGAAGACTTGGTTTAAAGAGAGAGAGAGATTGGGAACCATGCCTTAGTGTTTCCTGTCACAGGCATGACAACATCACAGAGCTCAGCTAACTAAGAGAACAAGGAGAAAAGGTACTCAAGATTTATTGGTTGATAACTTTTGAAAGATTAATATTTTCACTTATTTCCATATATGCAATCATTTTTTAAAAAAAACACTTACTTTTTAGGCCGGGTGCGGTGGCTCACGCCTGTAATCCCAGCACTTTGGGAGGCCTTGGCGGGCGGATCACGAGGTCAAGAGATTGAGACCGTCCTGGCCAACATGGTGAAACCCCATCTCTACTAAAAAAAAATACAAAAATTAGCTGGGCATGGTGGCACGTGCCTGTAGTCCCAGCTACTCGGGAGGCTGAGACAGAATTGCATGAACCTGAGAGGCGGAGGTTACAGTGAGCCGAGATTACACCACTGCACTCCAGCCTGGTGACAGAGCGAGACTCTGTCTCAAAAAAAAATTTACTTTGAGACAGGGTCTCGCTATGTTGCCCAGGCTGGTCTCAGAATTCCTGGGTTCAAGCAGTCTGCCTGCCTCAGCCTCCAAAGTATTGGGATTGCATTTGTGAGGCCACTGCACCTGGCCACATGCTACCATTTGTATTTGCAGAAATCCACTTGCCTAAAGTGTAGCTCCCTGGCATGTCAGAGTGAGTTCTTAAATGGAAGACAAAGTATCCCAGAAATAGAACTATAAGCTATCGTTAATCACATAACATTGGTAAGATATCATATAGTATACTCTCATACTCCAAGATGTAGCTTTTATTTTCATTTTTATTTTTTGAGACAGAGTCTTGCTCTGTCACCCAGGCTGGAGTGCAGTGGCACAATCTCACCTAACTGCAACCTCTGCCTCCTGGATTCAAGCAATTTTCCTGCCTCAGCCTCCTGAGTAGCTGGGATTTACAGGTGCCTGCCACCATGCCCAAGTAATATTTGTATTTTTAGTAGAGGCAGGGTTACACCATGTTGGCCAGGCTGGTCTTGAACTCCTGACCTTCGGTGATCCACTTGCGGGCCTCCCAAAGTGCTGGGATTACAGGCATGAGCCACTGCACCTGGCCCTAAGATGTAGCTTTTAGATAATTTATTTTTTATTTTGGGGGGGATGGAGTCTTGCTCTGTCACCCAGGCTGTAGTGCAGTGGTGCAATCTTGGCTCACTGCAACCTTTTTAGATCACATAGATCATAACTTTTATTATTTATATACGTATAAAATCAGGATGAAAAAAATACCAGTAAGCCAAGTTACCTTTCAAAATGAGCTAATTTATAGAACTTTCACAAAAGACATTACAGGCTTCATGGCAGAAGGGAGCATAGCTGTGGGAGATTTTTGCGGTGAGCCTGCCTAAGTGTTTCTGTCTCTTTATATTGTCTCCTAATTATGTAAGTAGCAAATCAGAGCAATATTTTTTACTTAGGTCTGCTGATACTTGTTTTTTGCCTGTGCAGCAGAATATACAGAGACCAAGAGAATTTTAGCTAGAGAACCGATGTTTGCCTTCAAGTTCATATTTGTGACTTTTTAAAAAGTTAACTATATGATTATTTCTAGTACTCCATTCCGGTACCTCCTTACACCTTCTATGCAAAAAAGTGTTCAAAATAAAATAAAGAGCCTTAACTGGCAAGAAATGGAAAAAAGCCGGTGTATTCCTGAAATAGATGATTCCGAGTTTTGTATCCGTATTCCAGGAGGAGGTATCACAAAAGCACTCTATGATGAAAGGTGAGTTTGTTTGCCTGTTCATTTGTTTCCCAATTTACTTAAAAATGAAATTAGGCTGGGTGTGGTGGTTTACGCCTGTAATCCCAGCACTTTGGGAGGCCAAGGCGGGCAGAGGTCAGGAGACCTATCCCGAAGTCAGGAGACAGAGACCATCCTGGCTAACACAGTGAAACCCCATGTCTACTAAAAATACAAAAAATAAGCCAGATGTGGTGGCGCACGCCTGTAGTCCCAGCTACTCTGGAGGCTGAGGCAGGAGAATCGCTTGAAGCCTGGAGGCAGAGATCGCAGTGAGCCAAGATTGCTCCAGCCTGGGTGACAGAGCAAGACTCCGTCTCAAAAAAAAATAAATTAATGCAGTGAGCTGAGATCGCGCTACTGCGCTCTAGCCTGGGCGACAGAGGAGATTCTGTCTCAAAAACAAAATGAAATTAAGACAGTCGGAATATATTGGATTACTTATTGAAACTTTGAAAATATATTTATAAAACAGGCACTATTTTAGAGCTCGTATTTAGGAGAAAGATTTAAACTTGGTTATAGAATTGTTTCCTAAAAAGTTATATTTAGGCCGGGCGCGGTGGCTCAAGCCTGTAATCCCAGCACTTTGGGAGGCCGAGGCGGGTGGATCACGAGGTCAAGAGATCGAGACCATCCTGGTCAACATGGTGAAACCCCGTCTCTACTAAAAATACAAAAAATTAGCTGGGCATGGTGGCGCGTGCCTGTAATCCCAGCTACTCAGGAGGCTGAGGCAGGAGAATTGCCTGAACCCAGGAGGCAGAGGTTGCGGTGAGCCGAGATCGTGCCATTGCACTCCAGCCTGGGTAATATGAGTGAAACTCTGTCTCAAAAAAAAAAAAAGTTATATTTAGTGCTTTATTTTGTATGACTTTTTAGGGCTTCTGATAGTCTTTGCAACCTCTACAGGCAAACTTATTTCTCTATTATTTCTCTCTTCTCTAGTTTTTATTTTCTTCTGCAGCTTTGGGTTTGGTTTGCTCTTTTTTCTCCTTCCCAAGGTGTCAACTTAGGTTATTGATTTAAAAGTTTTTTCTTTTTTACTGAATGTATTTACAGCTATAAATTTCCCTCTTAGCACTGCTTTCACTACAGTTTGACATGTTGTGTTTTAATTTTCACTTATCTGTCAGTATTTTCTCATTTCCCTTGTGTTTTTGTTGTCCTCCTTGCAAACACCTACCTCCTTTCTAAGAGTCAGCCCACCCTTCACCTCCTGTCTGCAGCCTTGCCTCTTCCTGTCTTCTAACAAGGAAGTTGCCAGTCTCTGCCCTCCACCTCTTCTATACTTTGTTGCACTTACCTTACAGATCAGTCCTCCTAGACTATTGCTTCCGACCAATTAGAGTCACTAATACCAGACTTGCCCTCCTGCCATAAAAAAACTGGAACTGGACAGAATTTACGAAAACAGCTGTTTTCCAGACATTGGACTACAGGCAGCACACAACTGTCATCCCTGAGAGAAGGCAAATTTTAAAAGTCTACAGTTGCCCGGCTTTCCGCTGGGAGATACTTCTGGACTGCAGCACAGGCAGGGGAACCCAAACAGCACAGTGGTCTTGCTGAGTGGAGATGAGTTAAGACTACAAGGAGCCAAGGCAACTGGAAATACAGGGCAGAGAACCAGAGGGCAGGGGTGGCTCATAAGAGTCCGGAGGTCTGTCTCCTTGGGTCTTTTTCTGAATTCTAAGCTATGAGTATAAGGTGAAACTATGAGGCCAGGGAAAGAACAGCTTCTAGGTAGCTATAAGCTTGCCCACAAAGTTAGCAGTGATAAACAGAAAATATTTTAAAATAAGTTAGACCTACTCAGCATCGAACATTCTGGAAATGCAGATTACCCTAAGGAAGCAATATTTAAAATACTCAGTTGTATCAACCAGAATAAAATAGTTCCAAATAAAAAAGTAATAAAATAGTCATCCTCTGCCTTTCTTTTTAACACAAGGCCAGAGGGTAATAGTAAAATGATTATCCCACACTGTGTTACAAACTAACAGAGGCGCAGTAAGCCGAAGAGCATGCCCTGCACTTTCCAAGTTAAAGCCTTAAAAATGCAGGCACAGCCTGGGAGGCAGCCTTCTTCAGGCGAGAGCTTTGCCAGAGGCCATCAATGCAGAGGCACTTAGGAACTGGAATTTTCTTAGCCATCAGAGCTAATAGTGGTTCCACACAAAGATTGAGAGCCCCTAGGGTATTTGAGAACCAAGTCCTGGGCTAGTGTGAATGGGGCTAACATTTTCTACTTTCTGGTTTTTAGAGACTGAGATACTGTGGTAAGTTAGCCTGGTATCATCTGAGACTTCCTAACATGCACACCAGTCTCCTCTGTGTCTTAAATCACTTTCTTAGAACTTCGCTCACTTTTATTTCTGTAGCTCTCTGTCAGTCTCATGCTTTCAAGTTTTGGCATGGCATTTTTCTCATAGTTCTTGGGTTTTAGGGTATTAGGAATAATTTTTGCATTTACTAGCAAGCAGAACACTTTTTGCATTGGTATATCTTCATCTCACTAGCTTGAGGCGTTTACAGTATGATAGGAGACTTACGTTTTGGAGCTAGAGAGACCTAAGTTCATGTACCATCTCTGCCACTTACTAGATATACAACTTTGGGCATGTTAACTATGTATTCAATCTCTTTAAACCTGTTACCTCAGAAGAGTAGCTAATACTTCTGTCATATTTACTATGTGGTCACTGTTTTAAGCATTTTGCCTCTACTACCTTTCAACCTCACAACAATCTGTGAAGTAGGTTCCATTATCATCCCCCTTTTATAGATGAGGAACACCCCTGGTTAAGTAACTTGCCCAAGGTATCTGGTAAGTGGAAGAGCTAGAATCTGAATCCTGGTGTCTGTCTTTGTTCCCCTTATTCCAAACTGATTCATTTATAAGATGGAGCTAATTATTAGCTTCCTCAGGATTATTACAGGGATTGAGTCATAAAATTTGCAGATAATGCTTTAACACGTAATAATCACTCAACCATTTTTTTCGAAGAAGTAGTGACTTTTCTTTTTTTTTTTTTTTTTTTTGAGACGGAGTTTCACTCATGTTACCCAGGCTGGAGTGCAATGGCGCAATCTCGGCATCTCGGCTCACCGCAACCTCCACCTCCTGGGTTCAGGCAATTCTCCTGCCTCAGCCTCCTGAGTAGCTGGGATTACAGGCACGCACCACCATGCCCAGCTAATTTTTTTTTTTTGTATTTTTGGTAGAGATGGGGTTTCACCATGTTGACCAGGATGGTCTCGATCTCTTGACCTCGTGATCCAGCCGCCTCGGCCTCCCACAGTGCTGGGATTACAGGCTTGAGCCACTTCCACAATTTCCCTCACTGCTTTAGATTATTAGTAACTAGGTGTTATTTTTTTTCAGCCTCTGCTGTAGTGCTTCTGAAAATTACCATCTTCTGAAGCAGGTTTGGGGAGTAGATCAGAACATAACATATCTGCTGTAGCCAAGGACAGAAAGGCTGCTTTTTCATGCAGCGGTGGGGTGAGGCATGATCGTGCATGTTCCCCAGTGTTACAGAGGCCTGCTCTCACAAGTAGAAAACATCATGTGGGGCAAAGGGAGATGATAAGTGATCTTATAATGTGGTATCTTTTCCTTTCCTAAAACCAGGCAGGTTATCATAGCTGTAAAAACAGACACACTAGAGTCAGCTGTTGTACCTGTGAAAAAATACTGATTCTTATTTTTATTTCTTTTAGCTGTTCTAAAGAAATCCAAATGGCAGTTCTGCTGAAATTTGTTTCAGAAGGGGACAACGTCCCAGATGCATTAGGTCTTGCTGAGTATCTTAATGAGTGGCTTCAGATAATCAAACCACCTGTAAGTTTTATTATAGCTTAAGCCTCTTCTTTGTCTGATTGTGTGTATTCATTAATTTGCATTTTATATACTACCTAAGTCGACCAAATAAGGTTTATATTAAATATAGACATATCTTTACAAAAAATTTAGTTTAAGCTGAATTTTTGAAAATGAGAGGACAGTTAACCAACCTATTATTTACAGTTGTTTAATTAAAGCTGACTTTCCGAGGTGGGCGGATCACAAGGTCAAGAAATCGAGACCATCCTGGCCAACATGGTGAAACCCCGTCTCTACGAATAAAATAAATAAATAAATCTGACTTTGGGAAAAGGAAAATCCTTAATTCTTCATTGTACTTACTATTCATGTTACATTAATTATGCCAGACATAGTCTTGCAATAATAAACAAGCCTTCTTTGGAATTCAGGAATTTTTTTAGGAAAGTAAAAAGTATTGCTATGTCAGTAATACTGTAGTTATTGAATATGTATTAGAGTTGGTATTTTTCTCTATTATGAAATGAGAGCATTATACCCAGGAAAGTGAGCTAGCCTTTAGGCATAACAGAACACCCCATAAGGCTGCTTTATAAGGTGGGTAACTGGCTTTTAAATTCATGCTTTTGCCAAGATACAAATCACATGATGCTGATTTTTTTTTAACCCCTATTCTTTTTTAATGTGATTTTCCCTAATAGATTTCATCTGCAGCCTTTCTGGCATCTCTTTATAATTTGGAACTTAAAGAAATTTATCTTCAGTTAACATGAAGACAAAGAAACTTTATTTCTCCTTAGCAGTAAAACCTGGCTATAAAAGTATCAACCAAAAGAAACAAAAAGGAGAGTTTTATAATACATATTAAAAGGAAATTTGATGGTAAAGTTTAAAGATTAAAATATTTTGTTCTTCAATTACAGAGTGATGAAAAAGCAGCTACTTCACGGTGGAAAATACCAAGTTCTTGGAGATTACTCTTTGGCAGTGGTCTTCCCCCTGCACTTTTTTGACAAAAAAATTTTTCCTTTTTATACCTTATACCCAAAACACTTACTACCAACACAACTATTAAACATTCTATACAGAAAATTGTATGATCTGAGAATGAATTAGGAAATTACTTTCACGGCAGATATTAAAGAAAAAAAGCTTAAGGGTCATGCTTTTCATTATATACAACAAATGTAAATTTTGTATAATAAAATTTTATATCCTAAGTAGTTTTGTCTTAAATGTATTTTTTTTTACAATTCAGACTCTGTATTAGCTTCCTAGTTCTGCTGTAATAAATCACCACAAACTTAGTGACTTAAAACACACGGTTTAATTTGTACATTAATTAATTTTCATTATGTATTTTAAGTGAAATGAGGCGAGTTCTTGCCATGTTGCCCAGGCTGGTCTCAAACTCCTGGGCTCAGGTGATCCTCCTGCCTTAGCCTCCCAAAGTGCTGGGATTACGGGCATTACATCACCATGCCCAGCCACAAATTTGCTTTTAAATTCAAACTTCTGAGTTCTAGAAGTTAGAAATCCAAAAATGGGTTTGACAATGCTGAAGTTGGGGTGATTGCAGGGTGGTGCTCCTAAGGAAGGCCTTAGGGAGAATGTGTTTTCTGCTGGTTTCCATCTTCTCGGGGCTGCCTTATTCTTTGGCTCATGGGCCCTTCTATCTTCAAAGCCAGCAGTTTAGCATCTTCAAATCTCTTTCACTTACAAGGACCCTGTAATTACATTGGGCCTACTCCAATAATCCAGGATAGTTTACCCAACTCAAAAGAATTTTAGTATAAAAGAAATAATAAAAATAGTTTTCATTTTTAAGTGCCTGCTGCATACCAGTCACTGTTGACCCCTAATCTTCGGGATCTACGATTTCGCTGTGTTACCTCTGCCTTGGCTTTCTCTCTCTCTTTTTTTAAATATTGTTGTGAAAGCCTACAGCACCCAGTATTCCCAGGTGGTCTCCCATCGAAGTACTAACCAGGCCCGACCCTGCTTAGCTTCTGAGATCAGATGAGATCGGCACATTCAGGGTGGTATGGCTGTAGACTGCCTGGGCTTTCTCATCTGTAAAACAAGGGCTTGTAATATTTAAGGATATACCCTACTTCCCAGCACTCAAATATTTCCTTTTGATATGCAAAGCATTCTGGATTCTGTGAACTAGTTCTCTTTCCGTTTTGGTTAAAATATGAAGTGGGGGTTGACATCAGCAAGATGGCAAAATAGGAAGTACCAGTCATTATTACCGCAAAGAAACACCAATTTAATTTATAGACCAAGATACCAGAAGCCAGTTCAGTTGCAGTAACCCCAAGTGAGTGCAAAATTTGAAATTAGTAAGAAGAGTCATTTTGAGGGCGCCAAGATGACACAGCTCCCAGCGATTGAGATGCAGAGGGCTAGAGGACTTCATGATTCCAAACAAGGTGCCAGGTTCTTTTCTGTGGGACTGATAGGGCACTGGAATTAGGCCCAGGGAAGGAGCCGCAGGGCGAGAGCTGCCCACTGGGGCAAATCAAGAGAGCAGGGGTTGTGTGCCTACCTGAACGGTGCAGCCAGCTCGGAGGGCTGGGGAACTCAACCCCCTCGGTGCTCTGTTTCACATCTGTGCTTACCTCATCCCTCCTGCAACCCACTGTCCACAAGAGCCCTGCCAGACAGTGGGGAGCTGTGAGTAGTCGATGCAAATCTGAGCAGTGGCTACCGCCAGGCTCAGCAAGTTGTCACAGGAACCTGGGCGGGAGTTTGGACTAAGGTCAGCAGGACTGACCTTCCCACAGAGGGAGGCAGAGTTGAAAGCAGGGAAACAGACCATGGGCCTGGCAGGCCCCACCTCCACAGAACTCAAACTGAAGCCCCCACTAGAGAGCTTGGCAGCAAATACACCAGCTTGACCCCAACCAGGAAGATTGAGCTCTGGGAGAGATGCCATTGGGAAGGTGGGGCCAATCTCATCTGCAAACAAACTCCAGGGAAGGACCACCCACCCAGCAACCTGACTGAACCTGAGAGAGCCCAGCAACACCCTCTACAGGCCAAAAAAGATACAGCTCCAACCTCAACAGAAAGTAAGTCCACTCAGAGACGACTCCTGAAATCACCAACTTCAAAGATTAAAGGGAGAT